GTTAGTGATGTACGGCCTGAAACTCCACATTTAGTCTTACACCTGTTATTCACACATTTCGCTGGTGTGACTTTCTGCATATATACCTGCTTTTATAAACGTCGTGCTTATTTTAATTACCTGTATAATTGTAGAATAACACACCCGTTTGGTTTGTCTCTTTGCAACCACAGTTTCCAAAAACAGGGGGAAACTGACTTGTAATGGGGTGTGTAAAATGAATAGTAGGCTATAACAACTGGAAATAACACGAGGAAAGGTGCTTTAATCACAGAGATAATGAAACAGGCCATCACACACTCAGACCCACAGTGAGGAAGGGTGCGGACCCTCATCCAGGGATGTGATCAGACACTGGTTACACTAAATGCCACTTATTGTATAGATATTTGGTTATTTTGACTGATGAATGGTGAACTTGAAATTAAGAGAGCCTTTTAATTAATCTTCAGCATAGGCCCGCTTTTCATTTAAAGTGTCTGACCGTGCGACCTGCTTTATGGTCATTTTTAATTAATTATTATTTTTTTTAAATAAAAGTAGTTATACACACTTCATTATAGTTTTTCTTAATTTGGATTGAGTTGAAGCTATATTTAAATATGCGTGCCTTGACAATTAAAATATTAATGTTGAGTGATACATTTATTTTCACCCTATACTTGCCTGGCAACAGAAGGCTATATATATGTACATGCGTGCCATGACGTACATCCTGAATTATGGTCAGTGCTGACATCACGGATTCACTTTGTGGTCTAATTTTAGGATTCTTTCTTTTTTCTTTTTCAAAATGCATCTCTACTCAGGAGGATAAATAAATAAAAGGGGAACTAATCAATGCACAGTTCACGGTTCGTCCTTTTTGCTCTGACCTATTTTAATAAAGACCACTGTTGGCGATTGGCCAAAGATCTCATTGAGCTTCCCTCCATTTTAAATTATTTTAATAACATACATTTCCCACACAATTGCATTTAGATGTTAGGCTTACAAGTCAGTTCTCTACAAATTCAGATGCACAGCAGAAAAGAGGCCTACACTGTACTTTTAACTTAACAGCCTGCAGATGTTTGACTTTATAGACCGGACAAGCAACGAATGAGTCACATGCACCTCCGCAAATAAATCTTGTGTAGAAATAAAGTGACTGCCCAGGACGCGTGACAATCATGCACTCCTGCCCGTGTTTAATTATCACAAATAGAGGGAACACAGCTGTCAGTTTGTAGTTTGGTTTCATGAAAACGTCACAACAACACTACAGTGTGTTTCCCCCTCCTCCTCTCGCACTGTGGTCTGCAGCCTGGTGAATATTTCACACGGGCCCTGTTATGAAACGTTTGTAACCTTGAAGAGGTTGCAGCATCACTGTGGTGCGGACGCGCTCTGCGGGGAGGAGGCCAGAGATTACACTGTACATTTAGTTTTAGTGCTCACTTGCTTTAGTTCATAGGCAAGTTTATGTTACTAAATAGTTGGCTGACCTGGCCAGTCGCGCTAAATGAAAACAAACATGGAAGTGACTTACATTTCTCAGTTTTATTTTTGCAAGATCATCATGGACAAGTAAAAAAAAAAGTGTCATTTAGTATTTAAAAAAAAGAGAGAAAATAGATTCGAAATACGGATTTAGTGTCTATCTGATGTAAATGTAGGATACAATCTCAGTGGATAAAGGATTGATTCTGTTTGATTCTATGGCTTCATTGAGGTATAGATTTGGCACAAAAAAAAGCAAAGACAAAAGACAGTAAATAAACAGGTGCATATCTGTCACTAGTTTAATGCACCTCACGGGTGACATGGATCATTTGTAGCTGTGAGTGTGTGGCACGGATGCCACAGGCTAATAATTAAACAACTTACAACTGCCAATAAAATTGACAGCAGAGTCAATTAGGTTCACGACACAATCCTGACCTGCACCCATTAAACTTGTGCACACGCCAGTCATTTCCTGCAGGTAGACGCCAGTGTGAGCGAGGTGCGAGGAAACTGTAGTGAGAAATGGCTCAACCTGCGAAGGCACGTAGGCTGCAAGGTTGTGCAGCTGCAGCAGGAGACAGGTCGGCAGAAACAAACTCAGAAATAAGGTGATCCATCTCGGCACTGCCATCCGTGAGCCCCCCGCTCGGTAGGAGCCATTCTCGTGGGGGACCGAGATCTTGTCCACTTCTCTGAGCCTCAGCGAGTCCCACTTTTTGACATCGAAATTGCGCACAAGTGGACCGACCTCCATGTCTTTCTGAGAGGGCAGGAGAGTCTCCTTGAGGACCCCCAGTTTCTCCCGAAACTCCTGCATCTGCTGCAGAAAGCACAGGGGGTCGGAGACGCTCCTGAAAGACTCAGCGATGCTGAGCGCCCGTCTGTGCTCCTCCATCGCTGCGCTCAGCTTGGTGATCTCCGGGTCGTATGCTTGCAACACCACCAGCTTCAGTGTTTCGAAATCGGAGAGGATCTCATTCTTTTTGCATTCAAGGCCACTGATGAGTTTGTCGAAATAGTCTGTTACCTTCTCTGCGTCCTTGGTCACCGACTGAAGCGCCTTTTTCTTACTGGCTTGTAGTGTCTCCAGGCAGGACAGGATGTCTGCGCTCTGCCAGCTCTCCACCCCGCGAAGCAGCTCTTCAAACGCCTCCTTCTCTCGTTCATATGCCTCTTCCAAGGAGCAGAATTTATGCCCTTTGTGGTCATCTGTTGTTGCGCAAAAGCCACAAATTAGTTTTAAGTCCGTTGCGCAAAATATGTTTAGAGGCTGGCTGCAGTGTTGTTTACAAACAGACATCTTAGGCATAACCCTTATTTTGCTGTACTTCTCCACTATTCCGCGTAGAGAGTAGTTGATCTGCAGGCTGTTTGCGCCATTGTGAGGGGTCTCTTTGCGGCATGTTGGGCATTTCAAAGGGGTTCTGAAAGCGGGACCTCGGTTCCCCTCCAAGAGTCCCTCCAAGCATTTCTTGCAAAAGCTGTGTGAGCACAGCAAAACCCGTGGGTCTTCGAAGAGACCGCAGCAGACTGGACACGTAAGTTCCTCTTCTAGCTGCTCCATGGTATCCTGCAAACACATTATCCAGGCGTCAAGTACGTACAGAACACCCAATAAATCAGCACTTCATAAATCAGGCTACACAATACGCACCCACACTCAGAGGGATGCTGCCCCATAAGGCGCTACAGGCAATACATTACACACGGAAAGAATGCTGCAGCATCGCAAAGGATACAGGGTTTTTTTTTGTGCAGTCATGTTCCAGCTGTGTCTGGAGTATTCCCATCCTGAAAGTGAAACTGACTTGCAACGCTGTGCTCGCGCAAAAGGTTGGCATGAGCTCTGCCAAAGCCTCCGTTTGCCCACATAACGTTAGACAACATCCTGCTCTTTATGATGCCTCTGTGTAGCCGGCTGGCGTTGGAAGAAACGTGAAAACCGCGCACAAAACCAAAGACTGGTTAATACTAAAAAAAAAAAGCTTCAACAACTTTACAGACGCAGATTCTAAAAAAGGAAACTATTTTCTCCTAGCTTTTTGTATCGCGGGGAAACAGGAGAGTGGTTAGCTGAGTTGAGCCCTGAATTGCCGCCGTCTAACCAATCCAATGCGACAAATGATCGACACACAGGGTTGGCGTTAGCGTTGCTCCTGTTGGCAAGGTACTGAAGTGGGGCTGTGACAGATTTTGCAAGCGCATAGTAACATGCAACTACTGGACCAAAAGAATCACTCACCAGCTGCTGAGGCGCACAGTGCAACGCAATCATGGCGCTTGTTGCTGTGCAGACTTCGCCCTTTCCGGGTAAAGAGTTAACCGTTTCGGCGGCGCACAGCAAACTAAAATGGGCACATTGGTCTGTGTTTGCGCACGTGGAAATCAGCACGTGCACTAAAAACGCCGCCGAGACGAAAGCAACTCGGTGTTTTGAGTGTTTCTGCGGCTGAAGTTTGACCATTGGGGTGTTTACGTTTTTTGTGACAGTGGGTAAGTTGCAGGAGATCCCTGGCTGTCGGATGGGGGAGGGGCTGTTGCTATGCAAAACATTACAGCGTGAAAAACTGTCAACTAGGTTTTAGTCCCAGCTTTGCATCACGGGGTTTTTGTACTGCCCCACTTCAGTCGCTCGTCTGGGTACTTGTCAATATGTGCAGCTGTAAACAGTTCACACGGTAAAAGGAAACGCTGCAAATGACGGCGCACAGCTGCGTCAACTCACATGAAAGTAAACTTCAATGCGCACAAATGTCGCACTGAGCAGACGAGTGGCGCTTTATTTTTTAGCGCCTGGACGAACCGAGAGACACCGTACATCAGCTTTAATATCTCAGCCATATGAACTCAAGCTCTTGAGGGATGCTCTTCGGTTATGAACGGCGAAATCAGCATTAAAACCACCGCGAAACATCTGATAGAGCGTCCCAAAACTCACTTTCCTTTCATGTTCGGTTATGTAACATCGATACCCAATAGTTACTTAGTCACGTGTAGAAATTTTGACCTTGATTTTCTTCCCTTGTTTCCATGCCATCAGGAGCAACTGCCTATCTTAGCCGCTGTGATTGGATACAGTGGGGGTAGCAGGGGCTTATGTAGCGCCGGGCTCTGCCGCGGTGTGTCGCTGTTGCGTTAGAGGAGGGGGGCTGACGTTTCGACGCCAGGCACTCTTTGGTTTTCATGGTCTGAGTTTGTTTCCGGATGTGTAGTGTCAGGATGGCTGCGATGTTTACGTGTTGTCTAGGCTGCTGCGGAGACGGCGGACCGGGGCACATTCCTCTGAAAGAGATGCCCACGGTGCAGTTAGATACCCACCACATGGGTAAGTGTCCGGAGGCCACAGCGGGTGTGCGGGCGGTACACGTACACGCGCCCCGTGTGCCCCGTGTGTGTGACAGGAGGGTTTGATACTTCCGCTGTTACCATTAGCCCGCTAACTAGCTGCTAGGGCTGCTGTAGCCTGTGCGATGAAAGGTGTTTGTGTGCGTAAAGGAGCGGTTGCAGCTGTGTGTTGTAACACCCACACTGTATATACTCCCTGCGAGGTTTTCACTTTGTTACATTTAGTGTGTCTGGACGGTAACACAGCAATGGACAGGGCGACTCGTGACATCGGGATTAACACTGCCCATTTCTTTCACTTACTGAACTGTGAAATCCCCTCCACTTGTGTTTTAAGATGTATAAAAGTACAGTGCTTTGAATAATAAGTTGTGTGATAATTGAATCGACAAACCAGTTCAGTTTCCTCTTTAGCCCAGAGGGGATCAGTATGCAGACATTTTTCATTTGAGATGTGTAACTATTGCACACAAGGTGTCTCCTACCTGACTGAAAGTCTTTTTCTCAGCTAATGTGCTGGAAGATTGCATACTGGATCACATTTGACAACCAAACTAGTGATATTGCTCGTATAATGTTAACTGAAGCTTTAACTTTTTACAATAAAGTGTTTATTGTCAGTTTACAGGCTGTTGAAATGACCAATAATTGACCTATAATAGTGAATTCAATAAACCTTTGGCTGGGTGCTGAACTGATTAATCGATTAATCAATCCACAAAAATTACTCTTCAACTGTTTTCATAATCTGTTAATCGTTAGTCTTTTATCGAGCAGAAATCTTTCCAGCGTCTCAGATGTGAGGATTTGCTGCTTTGTCTGACCTTTATGGTTGCAAATTGAAGACCGTTAAATTTTTGATTAGTGCTGAAAATGTTTCACTATTTGCCGCCTTTACATGGACTAAACAAATGATTAATCAACAAAATAATTCGATTTTTGCAGATTAATTGACGAGGAAATAGCCATTAAGTTAGATTTGTGAATTTATATTGTGTTTTTACGACCAAATGTATTCTTGCCTTTGTGTTGCAGGCACGGACGTTGTCATCGTAAAGAGTGGCCGGAGGATATGTGGCACTGGAGGCTGTCTGGCCAACGCTCCTCTGCACCAGAACAAAAGTTATTTTGAGTTTAAGATCCAGTCCACTGGTAAGCACTTGATTTGTAGCTACTTTCCAGCCTTTCCTGCCAGATTGGCATTTTCTGGTGCATTCCTAGCGGGAGTTATTGACACAGACACGCTGCCGTTTTTAGTAGCCACACCATCTTGTGACTGCATGCTCACTGATGGATTTCTGTTCACTTGCAAAGACAGTGACAGGAATTGGCTTTCTTACATATATGACCTTGAACCACCCTCATGTGGTTCCACACTAGCTTCTGTTTTAACTCTATTCCCAAATGTGCTATGCGTGAGAGTCTTGCCTATTCATTTAGCAGCTGGCCTTTATCGTCAATATAAATACATGTTAGTCTTTGTGTTTGAAAGAGTGTTTTAGTACAACAGATACTCAGTGCTGTGCGTTGTGTTTAGGTGTGTGGGGTATCGGTGTGGCTACACAGAAAGTGAATCTTAATCAAGTGCCTTTGGGCAGAGACACAAACAGCCTAGTCCTGAGGCATGATGGGTCTGTGTACCACAATAATGAAGAGAAGAATCGCCTACCTGCCAACAGCCTTCCTCAGGAGGGGGACATTGTGGTAAGTGCAACATTTATTTACTTGATCCTGAATTTGAAGTGCGATGACCTAATCTCTGAATCATAAGGGCCAGTCGGTTTCGATGGGGGTTCAAATGATTTCTTGTAGATCAAAGGTTGCTGAGATAACTTTATTTAATCAGTTGAGTCTGTGCACATAGTGAGTTATCTTACGTGTGTGTAGATTCTGAGTATTTACAGAACTTTAATCAACCCCTTCAGACTGATCATCTGCTAGAGGCCTGCTGGAGCAGTCTGGCCGGCAGGTCCCGTGAGATCCTCAGCAGAATTTGGTTTTGTGGAGGGGTTTTTTTCCCCAGGCAGCTGGCTGACATTGATAGTCACATGGTCTAATATGGGCTGCATAGCGTTCTGTTTGTGGTTTGCCACATGTGCACCAAATTGCTATTTGCCGTATAAGTCGTAACAGATTTTTAACATATTCAAACAATATTTATTTGATTTGTTTTTACAAACGTTGTCTTTTAGGACTCTAATACTTTTCTAAAATATAATATTAAGGAGCACAGACTTGGGGTCTGAAAAAATGGATTGCAGGAGTGGGCTGGTGCAGCAGAAAATCCTGCGGGGGTGAGCGGGAGCCGTTTTAAAACACATACAGGCCTCTATCTGTCACTGTCAGCAAACATGTCATTATCTGCACAAACTAGTGTTTGACAAATTCGAAGACATAATAAGACAAAAACAATGTCTTGCCTTATGCATAGTCATTCTTATTTTATTTAAGTATGGCCTTTCTGAAGAAGAGACCAAACAAGCTTAAACCTATGACTACCGGAACTTAAAACTTCGTTACTTTGGCGACCCCTTTTGTCCTTTAGTGACAGTACTATATTTATATGAGAGAGACCCCACCACCAACACACATCAGGGTTCCCACGCTTCCTGGAAAACATGGAAATTTGGAGACTAATTTTTCAGTCTTAGTAACACCTGGAACTAGATTAAAATGACCAATGACCTGGAAAATTTTAATAGTATATTTGTCCCTTACTCAGATCACCTACATAAACCTGGGAGTGTATTTGGTTTGTAGGTTTGTTGTGTTGGGTCAGTATGGCTCAGGATGACACTTCAAAACTGGAATTAAAATTGTCAATACTAGGTATACCGGTAATTTATATGGCTGTCAGCAAGTACTGTCCTGTATTGTCAATAAAAACTCCTGGAAATGTCCTGGAAAATGATTTCCTAAAAAGAGAAAAACAGAAGAAAGAAGACATGCCGATGAACTTATACTGTAAACCGGGTGATTGTGCAGGAATACACTTAAGTCAAGATAATTATTTTTCTCAACACAAAGGGTATTTTTATCACCAAATTCAGTCCAGCCAATCTGCCGGACAGTAAAACCATGTTATCACAGTGTAAACTGAGTGATACTTGCTCATTTGGGTTCAGTTATAGCTTTCCCACTGCTGGGGGCTAATGTACAGGATATAGGAACTCATATATACTCAATATCAATGACTCATGATCAACTACAATACATACTGTATGTGATACTGTTTGTGTTTGTTTTGCATATTGCCTGGTGTACATTCATATCTTTAAAAAAAACTCAAAGCCATCCAACTTGTATCTGCATGTTTTACTGTAATAACACAGCTGAACAAGAAGGTTGACTGGTTTTAAACTGATTTGCATAATGGTAAAAGATATGAAATACTGCCGCCACTGAGTGATACATACATGCAAACATACAGTTTACGGTGTATTTATGTCAAATTGCACGAGATATGAGACAAACTCACTGTTAATGAGTGATTGAACACAGCTTATGACTCATAACCTTCAGGGTCATGAGCACTGTGCAAAACACACATATATTAATATCCGGTCACTTTACCACTTATTCCTGGGACAATGACCAGGAAATTATGTAGTGATAATTTAAGCTCAAGTCATTATGGTCCAGTAGGAAAAAGAAACAAACACATTCATACTTGGTTGTTTTTCCACACTACTTGCTCCTCGTGACTTTGGTTGCCTGAAAATGGGAAATGCTTATCTTTATGTAGTACTCACAGACTTTGAATAGCCAGGCTAAACATGTTTGACAATTAAAACGGGTTGAAATGTGTCATCATGTTCACATGCAAAAGCAGCAATTACATTCCACTTTTGTTTGTGTTCCTCAGGGCATCACATATGACCACGTGGAGCTGAATTTATATCTGAATGGAAAGAACATGCATTGTCCTGCCTCAGGGATCCGAGGCACTGTGTACCCTGTTGTTTATGGTAAGTTCATTTATATATATAGCAGGGGGTTTATTGCCTTTTTAATTGATGTCAACAGCTGAGGATTGACAGGAGAGGGGGGAGGGGACAGAGAGAAAGGCGATAACAGGTCACAGGTCAGAGTCGACCCCTGGCCGCTGCAGTCAGGACTCAGCCTTGGTACACGGGGCTCCAGCTCCACCAGGTGAGCTATCAGGGTGTCCCCTTTATTTAGTTAGTGTAGCTTCATATGCTGACTAGTTTACTGAGGTTTGTTAATTATTGTTATGTGAACATTATTGACTGCTTTCTCAGAAATACTGTTATGACAGTTACAACTTAATTCCACTAGAGGGCTGTATTTGTACATTTTTACATAACACTGCTCAAGTCAGGATGTTTGTTGTACTTAAAAGCATTTTTTTTATTTGCATATTTGACCGCAAACACATTCCACACATCCAAGAGGGAGTAATGTGGAGTAATCAACGCTAAAGCTAAAAAAACAAAGACTGTAGCAGGGAGTGGCAGGAGCAAGACATGCTGGTTTTATTCTGCTCCAAGGTTACAGCAGATGATTTCATTGACTGGTTTCTCCTCTCCAGTTGATATTAAGCTAGTCTGTGAAATCAATTGGCCGTTGGAAACGTTTGGTACTTAGTGGCAGCTTTGCCTGTTCTTGTCCTAGAGTATCACTAATGCAGAATAACTAGTGACTCATTTGTCTGAGCTTCCTTTCTTTTTAAAACTGGTACTATTTCATAGAGATCCATGTGATCAGAAAGTCACCCCAGATGCCTTAACAGATTTATTATCTCAAACTTTCCCATTCATTTTTTGTTCTGTTGTATATGTAAAGTAACATTATTCATGTTTAAAGGGCAAGACGTTTATGGCTGTTAAGATTGTTATTTCACTATTTTCTAATAAGCATTCACATAAACTGACATCCCCAGTGAAAATAGGGACATGCTCCATTCTCTCTTTTCCATAAGAATACTGTGTTAACCTGTTGTGTTTCTGAATAAAGCTGCAACCAAATGAGGCCATAAAATATAGATTTGTATTTGTATTTTTAGACAGACAGATGATTGCTTTCTTATATTGCAATCTACAGCAAAGTCCGCTCTGTCTTACCTACACCTCATACCTTTTCCCAGTGAGTTTGGGGCCACTGAAAGTTTCTGTATAAGTCTTCTTGGGAAAGTGTTTAGTCCGGAGGTGATGCTGAGAACCGATTTATAAGATTAGTCAATCACCGTGCTAACAGTGAATTCCAAGCTAAAGTTGAGTTAATAACATTCCGGCACCCAAAGACTTCAGTATTAGCGAGCTTATACAAAACATAACATTGTATGTTCAGGGATTATGGTAAAACAGTTGCTGTTGCTGGCATACGACCTGATTTCTGCAGAACAACTAACTTTGCACAATAAACTGTAAAAATGACTGTTTACTATTTATTACATTTTTGCTCCTGAGTAAGACTTGACATCATTAACTTCATTTGATTTTATTTCACCAATTTACTGCGGGGGATCAATAAAGTGCTTCTGATTTCAATTCTAATACACTCAGTATCAAAACGGCTTTCCAGGGAGGTACATATACGATTTTGATGTAAAAATATAATAAACAAAATGTTTAATGGGGTCATATGTAAGAAGACTTGACTTTCATTTACCCATAATTTGATGTAATGCTGCAACCAATCTTGGATCTTGGGTTTGAATATTTGACTTAATGTACATTAACTTTAATACATACTGAAACAGGGATATGCATAATAAATGTGATGTGTGTTTTTTTTTTTTTAAACATAAATCCTGCTAATAGGAAATGTCTGTTTTAAGAGGTTAACATGTATACAATGTATTTCTCTTCTTTTGTTCCAGTGGATGACAGTGCCATCTTAGACTGCCAGTTTAGTGACTTCTATCACACAGCTCCTCAAGGATTTGAGAAGATCCTCTTTGAACAACAAATCTTCTAATGGAGCACTTCAGCCTCAGCCCTGCTTTACGTTGTCATCCTCCCCTATATCTCATAGCAACCTCTGTGACACTACAGTTTGACCTTGATCGGATAAAATCATAATGTATGGCTTAAATGCCTCTTGTTTTGTTTCCCGTAATTACTCTGTCTCTCTGCTGCTGCTCTGGAATGACGTTGGCGTGTCCTTTTTAAGGGAGTGGGGATTTATGATCACTGGTCAGCTATGATGGGCTGTTTGGGTCAGTGCTGATGGGAAAACTGTCCGACCATTACCTGGTGTCAGTGGTAATCACCCTGTATTAACTGAAACACTATCAATTGCCGCTTACATTTTCAATCTGTGTGTAGATGCCAGACAGTTGATCTAATGGTAATATATCCCCATTTTTCAGGATCGGGATCCATGTTTTTGTTGACATCGCTTTATACTTAAGTTAAATGCCATACTGACATCCCAGCATACGCCCTTTATTTATTTGTATTTATTTGAGTCACAGATCAAAGTGATGTGTCTCTTTTGGTTTGTCAAAGCATGCTTTGGTCAGTAAGAGTTTGAAGGATCAGCTGTCAAAGACTGACACATGAGTCAACAACATCCCAAGCACTTTTATGTTGCCTTTTTTCAATAATTAAAACAATTTAAAAACATTACAACACTTCTTAATTCATGTCACTGTTATAATTTGAGTTGACAGAGATTAAAAAACCAACTGCAGTACCAAAGTGCACATTCCAGGGGACAGCCTGTGTCCGAGGTTGACTTTTCACTGAGGTGATGGTGCTGGAAAATGTTTTATTAAGTGAAATGTTTCTTAAATAGCAAACACCAAAATGTATTAAGACTGATTACTAAAACACTTATACAAACAGCCTTTTTAGTTCCCCCCCACACTTTTCTCTTCCTGAAATCTTTTTTTTTTTTTTTGGTGTATTTTATTTTAAAATATCAGAATATTACTAGAGCTGGTGCTGGCTATCTCTGGTTAGAGGTAAATGGTTTGATAAAAAATATGTCAATCTGTTGTGTTGTATTGACATTGCATATCCGCTGCTGAAGTGTGACTGTCAGATATTTCAAATGCTTGTCTTTGTTTGCACTAATGATGTTTATTGTACAAGCAAATCCAAATATTGTTGATTCATTAAACTTTTGTGTCTGGAGGCATACTTTCCTCAGAGTCGCGTCGTGTTTTAAAGTATCTACCATCGCCACTGTTGGTTGTGGTGGACCTTTAATATATGTCCAAGGTGAATTTATTATTACTGCGTCGAGAAAGCCGTGGAAACCAGGACAGCCCTTGCAGGAGGCATGCATTAGCTCCTCCCCTCACTCTGCGTTGTGTTACGTCCTCCTCCCCCTCTCTCCGGAGCCAGCAGCAGCACAGGAGCTGCCCTGCCTCGTCTTAACACGGAGGAGATCCCGAAAGCCGGAGTAATAGCTAAACCCCATACAGCCATGGCAGAAAACGCCGGCTTGGAAAACCACCGCATCAAGAGCTTTAAAAACAAGGGACGAGATGTCGAGGTGAGCGGACATATAAACGCCAGTGTAATACACATAAATCGATGTGATTTAAGGTAGAAAACGACAGTCTTTGGGCCTCGTTGGGGAGCCTGGCCCCGGCTGCAGCTGCCAGCCTGCTAGCGAGCTAATGTAAGCTATCGTTCAGAGTTCGCCATCAGAAGTGCCGACTGGCCTTTCGTGGTATAACGGTGTATTTCTACCGTAATTAAGCGTTTTTTGTTATATGTATCCCGTTAACCCCGGTGGCCTGCTGATCTCCAGTAGTTAATGCTGGTAAAGAGTAAGCAGCCTCACGGTTGGACCGATGTAATTGGGAGCTTTAAGGACAGGCGGTGTAGCTGTCACTGCCAGCTAACGTTAACTAGCTACTTGGATGGACGCCGGTCGTCAGCGAGGCTGGGCCTGACCGGCACCGTAATCGTGACATTTGCTGTGTTTTACAGCCAGCTGACCTTCAGTAACACCAACGCTAACTTGCGAACGCCTCACACATTTGTCATTGTTGGTAAAACCTCGGTTTGGGTTGAATTACATGGTTGTTCCACATCCACCCGAACCAAACACTGCCCCTCCTTGTTAGCTTGCTAGCGTGTAATGCCAGGTGAGCCAGCTAACCCGAGCTGCTCGCTAAGCCACTGAACAGGTAATGATGCGACGAGCCTAGTTTAACAATCTACTCTGATGTGAAAAACAGAACAAATGTGCTGCCTGCTAAAACTATCCACGGTGTTATTTAGTCCCATCATTGGGAAATAGTCCCGTTAGACTTCGGTAACATTGAGCTAGCAGCACTATTAATTATAACTTGATCTAACTAACTAACGTAGCGCGGTAATGTCACCTCTCACATTTCTTAATGGTTATAGTTGCTTAGACATTTTCCCAAGCTATATTAACGTAAATGTTACGGATAATTGTGGTGGTTTTTCTGGCAAGTCTCATATTCTAGAAACCACCACCATTATAGTGTGTGCCCTACTGGCGAGTCCACTGTCGTCTAAAACGCTGGGAATTGCAGCATCATTCAACTAGCAGGTCTAATTATAAATCTGTGTGACAGCATTTGTCTGTAACGCTCTTTGACATGATGACCAAACCATTTGGCAAAGGCTGTGTTCAGACAAGCCAAGAAAAGAAGAAACAGTGTTGGACCAAAGGGAGAAGTAACAGATACATAGTCCGGTTTAGGTTACGTGCTTTATGCTATGTCATTTATCAAAATGCAACTCTCTCAGCTGTTTACCAGCAAAGAAAGAAAAGTGTGCCTGAAACGGGCCCTTCAAAATCCACCAGGGATTGGAGCACCTATCGTCTTCTGCCTAAAAGCACAGATTGATGCCCCATAGGTGGTTGTTTTGAAACTTGGAGTCAGTGTGACAAGCACATGGCTACTATGACAGACAGTCTCTGCCAAGTGCATTCCTGATGCTATTTCAGGCATCTTGGATGTCTGACCTGGGTCCTCTTAAGAGCGTCTGCGTGAATTTGAGTTTTCCTAAATGGATGACTCAGCCTACAGCAGGGGGAAAGAAAAAAAAAATGCCAGTTTGGGTTTTATTTATTTAGGTCAGGCATAACAGATTGCTCTTCATAGCTGACATCATTAGGAACAGCTTTGAATTGCAAAGCAGTAAAGTCCAACATGCTGCAGCACGTCATAAGTTCTCCTTTGTTTCCTGGATATCATATATAATGTGCTTATGGTTTAGATTGAAGCATTTTCATTTTTTTACCCTAAAAATATCATGTCTTTCTTGCCTTGCAGAAAAGTTTTGAGTATTAACCGCGGTGCCTCTACGGGCTACGGCGTCTTTGTCGGCGTATATTCTTTTAGGAACAGTTCATATTTTGGGTACAGCAACCAACAGAATTAGGCTAAATAAGCTAATTTAAATGTACCGGGCTGCATTCAATGTCCTTGTTAGGGTTGAGTATTGTATTTAGATGTTCAGCTGTCTGTAAAGGGACATTTTTGCTTGGGTCAGTGCAGTGGTATTGTTGTTTTGCAGTGTTTAGGGAGACACCTCTCTGCTCTGCAGCCTCCTGAGTTATGACTGTCCCAGATTATGCAAGAGGCTATTTAGGAAAGCAACATGAACCTCTTCAAACAGTCACAAGATCGTAGACCATGTCAAACTGTTCAGGATGAACTGGAAACCCAACAGACACACAAATAAAGTTAAAGTTTTTCCTCGCTTTGTGCTGCTTTTGAGTTGTTTAGTAGATCAAATGTGTTGGTGGTGGTTTCTGTTTCAGAATTAAGTCACAGATTCATGCCTAAATTAATAAAAAAGTGATCTACGTGCCTACGTGTTGTTGAAGTTCTGTCATTTTAAAAGATCAGAAATGGAAGAAATTGGCAGAAATTTTTCATTAGTGTAAAATGACCTGATGGTAAGAATTGTGCTTTTGTTACCTTTTACAATGAGCCTTTTTTATATCTACAGAGAAAGCGGGTCCTCTTCACTGAGTCTGCTATGTTAAACCAACCGTTTGTTTCTACAGTAGCCCAGAAAGGACAAATTAAACACTGGCTCTAGATGGGACTTTTTGGCATTTTTCACAAGTTTCTCGGTCACCGTAGTTTCTCCTACACACTAAGGGGAGGGTGGGCAATTTGATGTCTTTTGTTCGTGGTATTTTGTGATTTATCAGGCCATTTTCTTATCTGCAATGTAGCCTGTATTTCCCACTGCAATAAATGGTTTTATCTCTGAAAAATGTCCAAAAGCAAATGATTTCTGATTAACTTTTTGTTTCTTTTTTGTTACAGACTATGAGAAGACATCGAAATGAGGTGACAGTTGAGTTGAGAAAGGTGAGAAAAAGATGCACCGTCTGTCTACACTCAGATACACCAGACCTCTGTCTGTCCAGACTGCTGGAGTTGGACATTGAAACAATTCTAAATTAGTAGGCAGCCATACAGGGCATACAAAATAGTTGAGATGTTTATTAACAGACTTTGTTGTTTCTTTGACAGCGAAGCTCTGTTATCATTTCATATAGATTATATGGTTGATAGTTGAGTGTGTTTCTTTCCCTGGGAAACCATCTTTGGCTAAGCAGTACAGACACTGCTATGCAGACAGCACATTAGCCACATGACAGTCAGATTAATTTTGTCCTTTGGCAAATGGAAAGAATCAAGATTAATTGGCTACAGCTGATTAAGTTTGCTTACAAAACTCACTGCAAAACATAAACTGCATTGTGCTGTAAATGGAGTCAGAGTCAATATAGCCGTGTTTGCTAGAGAACAAGCCACATGTGAACCACTGGCACCCGTACATGCACATGCATTAACACCACCACCATGTTTTGTAGATGACGTGGTACGCCTTGAATAATATTTTTGTCCACACATTATCCTGACCATCACTCTGGTTTCACTTGATTTTCACTCTGATACATGCTTGCCTTTAGGGCCCTTAATCTGATGGTAGTTGTTTTTTCACCTGAGCAAGTCTTCTTTTGTCAGGTCATTTGCAGTTGCTCAGCTATAACTTGTGAAAAGATAAACATTGTTTTTGTAGCAGGGGATGTTTAAGACTGAGTTTTTACGAAGGCTGATAATTAAAGCAAAACTTCTCCCTGCAAATACAAGTCACATTTTTATGTTAGTTTTGGTGAGTGTAATCTGTATGCAAACAAGTCTCCACAGTCAGAAGGAAGTGAGTCTAGACAGTGCCTGGTGGGATCTTTTTGTCTGTCCGTCTTTGTTTCTGAGTAGAACTGTGAACAAAACTCATTTGGAAACAAGAAGCTTAAAAATATTCAGTGTTCAAATCGTCATATTCTGGAAACAGATCCTCAGCAGCTTGGTAGGATCAGTGTTAGCTCCTGGATTCCAGGTGTGGGTTGTGGAGTGGTCAATTGAAATCACTGGAATAAACCACACTGGCTTCAGACAAAAACAGTTTCTAAGGGAAATGATGTGTCTTGAAGATCTGAATACTGTTTAACAGCAGTTACATTTTAATAGCTTTTAAATGAAGTGTTGCATTGTCTTTGTGTGCTATTTTTATACTGCAAAATCTGTTCTGTCATAGATCTTTTTAACTCTCTGGTGGCTCTGAAGTTGATTTTCCCTCACAGTTGGAGACTGATTTGGGTTTGTAACAGAAGAGTAGATCAGTTGATTTACCTTTTTTTCAGAAGTAAAAAGGCTTTGAGAAATACAGTACCAACACAATCAGTATGGCTCAGTCATCAGTTACTGCTATTAAGTCCAAACTGAGTAAAATCTTTTTAGTAGGGGTTTATCTATTGTCTTACTGATAAATTTGGCCCACATAAATCTGTTGTCATTTGTTGAGGCATATATCATTCAAAGTTCCCTTTTAGTCTCCTGGAATAGGAAAGGCAAATGTAGGTAGTGGAAGAGGAAGGTGCCCTTTGGTTCTAGGAACCAGGTGGCCAACAAAATAATAGCAATTTAAATGAACCTTTGTTAAGTCCTTGCTCTGTAAAGCTGTGCGTTACCAGCGCGACACTCAAAATCCCAGCATGTCAACAACATATTTTGAGATGAACATTTAGACGATGGACACATTCATGACTTGGTACAGGGCGATCTGAACTGGTTTTTCTAATAAACAAAAGACAGGGGACACTTTAGCATTGTGCTTCCAGATGAAGTCTTAATGATATTCATAAACAGGCACGTAGAGCAGCACAGCCATCAGCAGACGTTTGGAGAACGTCACTGCTACGGGGTGCTGAGGTGTTCTCAAGTCTAGCACTTTCCATTTAGCTGGAGCAGAGCAGCAAGAAGCACTGCACTAGCTGATTAGTCATCAGTGACGCACATCAGCATTCTGCTCAGGAATGTAGGGCAAGGGAATCTCCTCCTACCACTGACTCACATGTCCTGTATCGATGGGATGTGTGGGTCTTTCTGCCTCTCTGTATGGACATGGGTGTCTCTGTATTCCACTGTGAATTTATGGGTGCTTGCTGGAGGGTTGCACAGTGTGATGAGAGTTAAGGTTCAGTGTTCTTCAAAGATGAGTGTGTGTTTGATTAGCGGACTATCCTGCAGGCAGAACTTGGAGTGGGCTTTCTAACATCTAGGTTACACTCCTGAAAGTAAAAGTTTGAGAGAGAGAAAAATAGTTTTTGAGGTAGACCTCAACTCAATCCACTGTTGCTTAAAGAATTCATGAATATATTAATGAAAACTTTCATCTCCTCCCCTCATTGCATTTCTGTCTGTTTTACCCCTCTTGTCAGAACAAACGAGACGAACATCTACTGAAGAAGAGAAATGTCCCGCAGGAGGAGAGTCTGGAGGACTCTGATGTCGACTCAGACTTCAAAGGAGTAAGTGTGGGTGTGTGGGTATGTTTGAGTGAGAAAGATGAAGTGAGACCGGACTGTCTGGATAATGCGTCAGACGGGTTCAAATCAATTGGACAAAATCTTTTCAAACTGTGTACGATACACACTAGAAACAGTAGCTAAACAGCTTTAGTTAGAATAAAATGTGGATTTCCTACTGGGATTTCCTCCCAAATAAAAGCATCTACAGTGCAAATTAAACCCCAGTGTGTTGTCATGTTATGATTGTTTTCTGTTACTAATATTTATTATTCCAAACATCAAATAGGCCAATTCACTCGGATTACAAATTTTTTTTCTCTTTAGTTGAGATTGAAAGTTCATTTTTGATCTTGGAAACAGCATCTGACATACAAAAAAAAAACACCACCAAGGTTTATTTAGTAGCTGTTCTGGTGCTTTCAGTCACATGACGCATTCTTCCTCAGCAGATGGAGTTTTCTCAGTTGTCATGGTAGATTCATATTAAGATTTTGAACCGTATAGAAGGAATGACAATTTGAACATTTACAATTCCATGAGAACTGGGTAACCTCCATCTGGTGAGGGTGATTGTGTGATATGTTTGGAGGATGGTGGGGTTGGTGAGTTAATTTTGTCATTTCCTTTTACCTTATTGAGTCTGTCCATTCAGATTTTTAGTTTTGTAATATCTGCTGCTGAAACCTCTGCCACCACCCTGAAAAGCTAAAAATGTATATTTATAAAACTGCAGATGGCATGTTCTGTGGATTATTATTCCTAGCTAACAAATTAAATATCATCAACCTCCATTGAACTGGGTTGACACTAGACATCTGATAGAAATATATCTTAAAACTAAAATAGATAAAAGAGTAACTGTTACATATAAAAATATCTCTTGTAATTTGTGTGAATATACTGTCTAATTCTCCCTCAACGATGTAAGGGTTTTTCTGACTTTTGTACTATATGTACAGTACAACCTGGTTAATAAAGTCTGTGCTTTGTAGATGCACAATTTGCAGTTTAGGCTGTAAAAAGCTATACTGACATTTGGTAAATAGATGGTAAATAATATAGTATGCTGTATGTCAGCAGAGTGTAGGAATATACTGTCCAAAATAGCTATAAAGCCACTGACTTCTGATGACGTCGTTTGAGTAGGATAATGAAATGATGAGGAATGGCCTGCAGAGCAAGCCAATCTGCGCATTTTAATCACAAACTGAAGTTGCGGCCTTAATTTGTGGCCCACAGCAGCATGAGTGAGAGAGGAAAGCACCGATGGAAAACAGGATGACTGTGTGCAGCCGTGCTTGTCATAGTCTCATGGGAGCTGTGATTGAAAGCTAATACTATCATTGTTTGTTCAGAGTTATCTTACGATTTTGACAGAAATCCCAAATATCACTTGATACTGAAACAAGCCTGGAGGTGGGGTCAGCCCTATTGGAGTCACAAGCAAAGACACTTCAGGGAAAGTAGAGGGTGCAGCTCATTGTTATTTCCTTCATCGTCTCAGTTGAAAGCCACCAAGCCTTTTGCATATTCTGCATCACAAATTTTCCTGTCAGACACCAAGATGCTGTGGGGAAGCTGTTAAAATCTCAGTCAAATTTGGTATTGTGAAGTTTGTTTCGTTTGTTATGCCACAAAAATTATTTAAAACATCCATAAGTCACATGACATCTGTTGAATCCATCATACTACAACATACTACAGTGTGAAAATAACATCTGAGCTGCATGAGATACAAAATGTTTACTTGTTACACTGCTGCAAGTGGTTTCCTTTAATGACTCAGCAAAGTATGACTATGACAGTGCTAATATTTATCTACATTTTTCTTTGTACAGCAAAATGTTACGCTTGATGCCATCTTACAGGTAAAAGTTCACAACACTCCCTTCTATTATACAGTAAAATGTACTGGCAGTAGCTCCAAAACTGTGTTGGCTAATAGTACTGTGCTAATATTTTGAATGGATTTCACTCCTTGTGCCTACAGAACGCTACCAGTGATAATGCAGTTATCCAGCTCAGTGCTGTACAGGCAGCCAGGTGAGTTACAGACAGAACACACACACAAATACATCAGCTGTTTTTTTGTATATGAAGTTCTTGAGATTTTTTTCCCCGCCCTTTGTCAGAAAACTGCTGTCGAGTGACAGAAACCCTCCCATCGACGACTTGATAAAATCCGGGATCCTGCCCATTTTAGTCAAATGCCTGGAAAGGGACGACAAGTAAGTCTGCCTCCAAAACTGTTTGTGCTTGCCTTCAGTGTTATTTTTCTCTGATGCGACGAACAGAGTGTTCTACTTGTTAAGACCGCGGACTGCTGTGATGGATTACTGACGCTGCTACATCAAGTCGTTGCCGCAACAGAGGCTTTGTGTGCATGAGAGTGTGTGCGTATCCCACTGTGTCCACACGTGAGAGTGTGGAGGCGCGCAGGACAGTTGGCTGGTCTTCTCAGTCCAGGCCAAGCCAAATATAACAGCATTCCTGTCCCCCGGAGTTCCCCAATTCCCAGGACCTTGTGTTCACTGAGGGGAGGGGGGAATGAATAGTTGGGATGGTAGAGGTTGGAAGGAAGAAGTTGTAAGAATTTTACCAAGGCAGCCAACAACAGATAGCGTCATGTTTACATGGACCACCAGCTTATATTGGACATTTCTATTATGTTTGAGTTCATGCAGAGTGCAGCAATGCAGTATATAACCCATGTGCACCAATCAAAAGAAAATAGCCCACTATGTTGCTATAGCATTATGGCAGAAAGCCAAACCAGCTCAGCCTAATGACACGATGAGGTACAGAATCACAATGCAATGCCCAGCATGAAAGTGAGCACAATTTTACATGAATAAGAATAGACATTAAGTCTTAATCTGTGATATTGCAGAAAACTTCTGTCCAGAGGCAACCAACCACAGTGGCTGGTTACATCACAAAGAGCACCACGCCCTGTTTCCTGTTTTACATCCAGGCTTAAGCTTAAAGCAGTAGGAACTGCAGATCATGGTTGGTTGCCTGATCAAATATTTAGTGGGATAGACGGACTTACCACCCTTTGCTATGATTTACTAGCATTTGGCTGGTGGGCGGTGTGAGGATCGCTTGCAACTGTGTGATTTCTAGTATTTTGTGTTGCATCATTTAAAAAAAAAAAGTAATTTCATGACTCCCGCCCTTCTGAGCACAGCCCCAGTTCACCAAGCAGCAAGACATTTACACCACTGATCTGGTGTCAGATGTATTATGCACTATATAGACTTCATTTCACATTATAATGAATCTATGTTTAAAGAAACCAATTACGGAAAACTCCACTATGCCCTGGTGAGCAACACACTTTTGATTAAAATGGGTTTGAGCTGTGTCGCTCTAAAAAGCCCTTTTTAGAAAGGCCAAAAACGGACAAATACATTAGGTGCTTGGGGGGGGGGGGGGCCTAAATATAAAAATCACTTGCGAAAAACTTAATAGCTAGCTGGGAATTCAGGAACTGCTTAATCGAATATTTTATTATTAATTATAATTATTCCCCTTTTCTCTTCCAGTCTACTGTAAACTAAATGCAGCCGTCTTTATGCTCTTAACTGTTTTTTTTTTTTAAATAAGATTTCTGTCCAACAGCCCCTCTCCTGCCCAGGTTTTGGGGAGGACAGCTTGCCGGCCTGGGACCAACATTGCCTCTGGGACGTCAGCACAGACTCAGGCTGTGGTTAAATCCAGTAAGTTGACCCCACATTCTGTCTTACCCCTGCAGTCTATGTTTGTATACTGTCTGCAGTCTGCAGAGCTAGCATATTTATTTGTTTTTTCACTCAATGAGGCAGTCAGTAATAGTTTTGTATTATGTTTTTATTAGATAACCGTGCACTCTTATTTTGAAACAAAGCCACAATGACTGGAGAGTAGAAACCATGATCTGCATTCATGTGAATAGCCAGCTGTTACAAAGACGGCACAAGTTAGTGTAGAACTAAACTTGAATTGGATCTTTCATATTTTTTTTTAGAAAAACTTAAAGATTTTAAAAACCAAATATTAAACTATTGTTAAGTCATCAAGATAAATGTTTAAAGATACACACAATTTTTAAAGTTTTTCTAAAAAAAAAAATATGAAAGATCCAAATTCAAGTTTTAGTTCTACACTAACTGTGCCGTCTTTGTAAACAGCTGGCTATTCACATGAAGCAGATCATGGTTTCTACTCTCCAAGTCATTTGGGCTTGTTGCAAAATAAGAGTGCACGGTTATCTAATTAAAAACATAATATCAAAACCTATTACGAGCTGCTATTGAGTGAAAAAAACAAATAAATATGCAGGCTCATGCAGACTGCCAGAACAGTAATTACAAACATTAGACTGCAGGGTAAGACAGAATGGTGGCGGTCATACCTACTGATTAACCACAGCCTGAGTCTGTGGCTGACGTCCCAGAGGCAATGTTGGTCAGGCCGGCAAGGCTGTCCTCCAAAACTGGCAGGAGAGGGCTGTTGACAAAAGTATTAAAAAAAAAAAACAATTAAGGACATAAAAGACCGCTCATTTAGGTCTACAGTAGACTGGGAGAGAAAAGGGAAATAATTTTAATAATAAAAAATATTGAGTTGAACAGTTCCTGAATTACCCAGCTAGCTATTAAGTTTTTCGGCAAGCGCTGATTTTTATATTTACCCCCCCCCCCCCAAGCACCTAATGTATTGTCCTGCGTTTTTGGGCCCTTTCTAAAAACGGGCTTTTTGAGAGCTTACTATGTTGCTCAGATCCCAATTATAGAGTTCAAGAGGTCTCACATGTAGGTGGCTATATGGATTTTTCCGTAATGCTTATTACATAATTCATATTTATTGATTAAGGTTGAAATGAACGGATTAAGGTATTTCTGAATTATTGGTATAGTGGCATTATTATACATCTGTATACCATATCAGTGGAGTATTATGAGTCTGTTTTCTTGGTGATATTTCTTCTTGGCTTCAGAACTTGTTTTAGTCATAGTTACTGTTTTAAATAGTGTCATGTATCACCAAAAATTATACTTAGGAGAAATTCACATCAATTGGTCATTGGAAGCTGTGAGTCGCTCATCTCATGTGTGCCGGATCTGCCAAGTGTGGATGTTAACGTAGAGGTTCGTATATTATTTATACTATATTGGTGTGAGATACTAAGTCTTTGGATTGGGTATCCATTC